ACTCAGTGAGACCCTGTTTCTAAATAAAATACAAAAGAGGGCTGGGGATGTGGATCAGTGGTTGAGTGCCCCTGAGTTCAATCCCCAGTACCCCCACCAGCACCAAATCACACTTTCTTTGACTTTAGAACTGGAAGAGCCCCCAAAGTGAGCTATATAATGGTCAGCCAGAGACAATGAGACTAACAAGTGCAATCATTGTTCCTGAGGTTTAGATTCCTGCTCATCTGAATTACAACCCCGGGCCCACTCCAGGTCAGAGAGTGATGTCTTTGTCTAATCTGTTGGCAGCAAGAGAATCTGTTTGCCTTTATGCCACAAATATGCTAGTTCTGTGAAAGTGCAGAGAACAGGGGACAAGACCCAGCTTCCACGTGGATCCATTTAGCCTCAAACACACGTACACCTAATGAGTCAGCGGGGCATAAATCCCTTAAAGTCAAGTGTACCCAAGAGTGGCCGGCTGGTGGGGTGGGTGGCTAACTGACTGTGCTACTTTGCAAAGAGTGATCAGGGTGGGCATCACTGAGAAGGTGCCATTTATGGGGAGGACTTACAAAAGGAAGTCAGCTATGCAGAGGGGAGAGTTTTCGGGGGGGGGGGGGGGGGGGGGGGGGGGGGGAGTGTGCTGTGGGTGTGTTGCAGCAGGAGGTGGGAGAGGACTGTGGGCTGAAGCAGAGTAAGGGGGCGTGTTGAGCCGGTGACCTTGCTGAGCCTAAGGGAGCCAAGTCACGTAGGGTCTTGAGTTCTGCAGAAAGACTCCGCATCTTGCCAATAATGAAACGAACCACAGAACCACCCTTTCCAGAGGCAAGTACACACATATTGCTCATCTTTGGGCAAGATTAGCCTTTCTGTTCATGTGCCTGCTTGCAGAAGCCCCTGGAGGAACATGTTAGTGAATGAATCAGAGGAGACACTTCTCTCCCAATTGAGATCCCGTCCACAGGTCCCCCAGGGGAATCGCTTAGGTTTAGGTAATACTGGTAGGAGATTCTGGATTGGAGCAAGGAGCCCTCTTGCTCTTGCCAGAATACTTTCCTTTTCCCTGGTGGCCAGGGGTTTCCAGGAGGCAGGAGCATAATCAGAGTGTGTATCACTGCCCCACCCCCAGCAGAATGGAACCCTATCTTCTTCATGTTTACCGCTGCTGTGTGGTTTAGGAATTGTTCACAGGCAGAATGTTCTCAGGTTTCACTGCAGGGCTCATAAAAAAGACAGGTTCAGGAAAACAGCATGTTTGGGAATTGAGAGTATTTGCTAGGATGTTGAGACTAACCCTAATTCTACTCTTGGGTAGAAATCCCTGCTGGGATCGTGGTGCCTACCGGGATAGCTTTTGTTTCTTAATGTGATTTGGAAGATTTTTTCTTTTTTTTTGGTAGCAGGGATTGCACCCAGGGGTGCTTAACTACTGAGCCCCATCCCCAGCCCTTTTGATAATTTATTTAGAGACAGGGCTCAGTGAATTGCTTAGGGTCTCGCTGAGTTGCTGAGGCTGCCCTTGAACTTGGTGATCCTCCTGCCTCAGCCTCCCGAGCTGCTGGGATCACAGGTGTGCACCACCATGCCTGGCTTTCTTCCTTCCTTACTAGAGTTCATCAGCTCGGACTGTTCATCGTCTTAGCATGACACCCCCTCCTCTCCACCTCCAGATCAGGGAGGCTCTGGAAGTGATTAGGTGGTTGCAAATCAGCTCTTAGGATTTATAGGTCAGAAATAAGCCGCAAGAAAGCAGGACTGGAGGACCTAACTCCTCTTGCCCTGACAATTACCCAGTGAATAATGAATTAAAAAAAAAATAGAAATCACCAGGAGCCATGGTGCACACCTGTAATCCTAGGGGTTAGGGAGGCTCAGTCAGGAAGATTGCGAGTTCACAGCCAGCCTCCGAATTCAGTGAGACCCTGTCTCTAACTAAAATGTAAGAAAGGGCTGCGGATGTGGCTCAGTGGTTAAGCACCCATGGGTTCAAGAATCCTGGTACCAAAAAACCAAAAATATAGAAATTACTAGAAAATACACCATTTTGGTAGAATTCAGTCAGCCCTCTGTGTAGGTTTCATATTTTTGGGTTCAACTAGCCCTGGATTTAAAATGTCGCCAGGCCTATACTGTTTGTATCTGTATGGAAAATGCATGCCCTTTTTTCTTGCCATTATTTTCTACATAACACAACAAGACAATTACTTACAGGACATTTACAATTATAAATAATGTAGGTGGGGAGACGAGCACCGATTATGTTTTAGTCAGCTTTTTCACTGCTGTGACGAAAAGACACAAAAAGAACAATTGAAGGGGAGGAAAAGTTTATTTCAGGACTCACTATTTCCTAGATCTCAGTCCATAGACAGCAGGCTGCATCCCTCAGGGCTCGAGGGGAGGCTGGACATCATGGAGGAAGAGTGTGGTGGAGGGAAGCAGCTCACATGGTGACCAGGAAGCAGAGAGACTCCACTCTCCAGAGACAAATAGAGACCCCAAAGCCACGCCCCCAATGCCCCCTCCTCCAGCCACACCCACCTGCCTCCAGCCACCACCCAGTTAATCCCATCAGGGGTCCATTCACTGGTTGGGTTAAGGCTGTCACAACCCAGTCATGTCTCCTCTGAACCTTCTTGCACTGTCTCACACATGAGCCTTTGGGGTCCACCTCACATCCAAACCATAACAGGTCATATGCAAATGCTATTTCCTTTTATACAAGGAACTTTGGTATCCAAGGATATCCTGCATACAGAGGGACCACTGAGGTTTCAATCCAAAATTGAAAAATCGACTCTCACAAACATGGCTTTATTTTTATACTATTTTGTTGATGTGTAACTTTCATAAAATGAAGCAGACAAACAAGACTATACCTTAGTGTAGTGTAGTCTTACACTTCCATCCTTCTGTTTCCTCCAGGTCTAGTTCTAGAACAATTCTAGTGTTCTAGAAGCTTCCCTGGTGTCTCCTCTCCCTCACTTCTTTCCCCATGGACAGCTTTCACTTGTTCTTAAGCTTCTAATAGATGAGAAGCATAGCATGCACTCTTCCTGTGACCTCTACATTTTCTGTGAAATGCATCCATGTTGCTGGGTGCAATAGCCCATTCTCATTGTTCTGTGGGAGTCCATCATATCAAGGTCTCTCCAGATAATTCCCAATTTTATCTAGATTTAAAACAATTACATCATATGGATACACTGTTACCTTTTGATTTATTTATTTTTATTTATTCCTTTTAGATACACACGACAGTAAACTGTACGTTGAATACTATGTACACATGGAGTATAGATAGCTTCCCATTCTTGTGGCTGGCCATGATGTGGAGTTTCCCTGGTCGTGTGTTCATATATGAACAGAGGAAAGTTCTGTCCCATTCACTCCATTGTCTTTCCTTTTCCCATCCCCCTCCCTTCCCTTCATTCCCCTTTGTCTCATCCAGTGAGCTTCTGTTCTTCCCTCCCCCGCCCCTTTATTGTGAGTCAGCATCCACACATCAGAGAGAATATTGGGCCTTCGGTTTTTTGGGACTGGCTTATTTCACTTAGCATGATAGTCTCCGGTTCCATCCATTTACCAGCAAATGCCATAAATTCATACTTCTGTAAGGCTGAGTAATATTCCAAAGTGTATATGTACCACATTTTCTTTATCCACTCATCTGTTGAAGGGCACCTAGGTTGGTTCCATAGCTTAGCTATTGTGAACTGAACTGCGTCAACATTGATGTGGCTGTGTCACTGTAGTGCATTGATTTTAAGTCCTTTGGGTATATGCTGAGAAGTTGGATAGAGGGGCCAATGAAGACACTAGAATTTTAAAGAAATAACCTCACATTCATTGAAGAGTTGCAAAAAGAACAAACACTGCCCATGTTATACTCTTTACCTAACTTCACCTGTTAACCTGTTAACTTCTTGTTCAACATCCCAGTGAATAACAGATTTTTTAAAAGATAGAAAATACAACGTTTGATAGAATATACTCTCCTTCTTGAGATAACTTCTTTGTTCTTTTGTGTTCCAATGCACACGTGCACACACACAACTTATGTCTGTGCCGTTTGAAAGGAAGCTACGTTCATCTGGGCCATGTCCTTCTGGGTGTGATTCCCGGGTCTTCATCTCAGGGCTGCCAGAAGCTCATGTGACAGCACTTGGGATATAGAGGCCCACTGTTTGGAGTACCTGCTCTTAGTGATTATTGTCACTGCAAAGTGCCTCCCCCCAGTGATAGAAAGATGTCCCAGGGTCCCATTCATATCTTCTGACTCCTAGGGACCCATTATCACCCTGGAGTAGTAATTTACTGAGCAGGCTAAGAGAGGAAACATCTCTTTATCTACACTACAGAGTCACTTAATGTCCAGTGCATTTGAGACAGAGGTTACCTGCTACTTAGGGACAGCAGGCACACTAAGAAAGAAGTGAACTGGTCCGGTATCATGGAACTGGATTCTAGGCTGGGCGTTATCCAGAACAACTTGGGTCTGGCCCGGTTTCCATAGCTTAGTTTCTTTATCCAAAATATCTTATGGAACTATCACTAGAGGAGTTCATTGAAGTGCTTTATAGAGTGAAATTGGAAACAGGAAACATCACACATAAGATACACAGTGGGCCAGGCCCAGTGGCTCACACCTGTCATCCCAGCTGCTGGGGAGGCTGAGGCAGGAGGATCGTGAGTTCAAAGCCAACCTCAGCAAATTAGTGAGACCCTATCTCTTAAAAAAAAACCAAAAAAAAAAAAAAAAAAAAATGGGGTGGGGGTGTTGGGGATGTAGCTCAGTGGTTAAGTGCCCCCTGAGTTCAATATACAATGGGCTCTTAATAACTGATGGGGAGGAATTAGCAACTAGTCTTGCGTTTTAAGCGCGCATCCTCTCTAGGCGCCCAGGGCCCAAGATCCCCCCTGCGTCCTCTGTGCCCTGGCAGTGACAGTGCCAGCCGGCCCCCATTGCCGCCCACTTGTACTAACCCCGCGGTCCTCTGCTCTGTCCCCGCCAGGCCTCTCTGCCGAAGGTGGCGCCAAACGCCAGGAGCACCTGTCCCGGTTTTCCATGCCCGACCTCAGCAAGGACTCGGGCATGAACGTGTCGGAGAAGCTGAGCAACATGGGCACGCTCAACTCGTCCATGCAGTTCCGCAGCGCAGAGTCGGTGCGCAGCCTGCTGTCCGCCCAGCAGTACCAGGAGATGGAGGGCAGCCTCCACCAGCTCGGCAACCCCATCGGGTACCGAGACCTGCAGTCCCACGGGAGGATGCACCAGAGCTTCGACTTCGATGGCGGCCTCGCGGGCAGCAAGCTGGCGGGCCAGGACGCGGTGCGGGCGCAGCCCCTGAGCGAACGCACCCGCAGGAGGACTACCCCGCGCGACGACCACCGGCGCTTCCGTCCCCACCGCTCCCGGCGATCCCGCCGCTCCCGCTCGGACAACGCCCTCCACCTGGCCAGCGACCGCGAGGCCATGTCGCGATTGAAAGAAAGGCCCTCCCTGAGAGCCCGCGAGGACTACGACCAGTTCGTGCGCCAGCGGAGCTTCCAGGAGAGCCTGGGGCAGGGGCCCCGGAGGGACCTGTACGGCCAGTGCCCGAGGACTGTCTCGGACCTGGCTTTGCAGAATGCGTTTGGGGAGCGCTGGGGACCCTACTTCACCGAGTACGACTGGTGTTCCACCTGCTCCTCATCCTCCGAGTCTGACAACGAGGGCTACTTCCTAGGAGAACCCATCCCCCAGCCAGCCCGCCTGCGGTATGTCACCAGTGACGAGCTGCTGCACAAATACAGCTCCTACGGCGGCGTCCCCAAATCCTCCTCCACGTTGGGGGGCAGAGGACAGCTGCATAGCAGGAAAAGACAGAAGAGCAAAAACTGTATCATTTCGTAATAGGATGGGGGTCGGAGGGAACGGGGGCGATGGGAACCAAGAATGTACATTCAGAAACTTGCACTGTTTTCGATTTTAAAGCGCTTTGGGGGTGGGGGTGGTTCGTGGGGGGAGAAAAAGGGAGCGTTCTCAGCTGGAGGCAAGGTTACAGATGGACTCAATAGGTAGTCACAGTTCTTAGCATGTTGAATATCATGTGCCCATTTCACGTTGGAAACACAGTAGAGTCTATGGAGGCCCTTTCCCATCAGTCATGTGTTCAGTGGCTGCTTACGAGGTGACAAACCCTTTCCTGCTCGCTTATTTCCTCTCTGGTACTCTTACTTTTAGGACTCCCCCCCCCCCTTTTTTTCTTTTTCAGTAAGTAATTTGTTTATTAGCCAAGACCCAAGACTAAGTTATTTACATGTCCATTGTAAATGCATTGTAAATGAGAGTTCTGATAAAATATTTTTGTATTTTGTAATATCAAAGGAATTTCTATATCGTAGGACTCCGTGGGGTCTTTGCATGCTCATCCGGCCTTGTCTTTGAGTAGTATTAAAAGGTGGCCCAGGACCACCCTTTTTTTTTTTTTTTTTTTCTATACAAATTTGTTATATGTCAGTGAGACCTTTTTTCAAAGGAGTGTATTCAATCTGGCTTTTTGTGGCTGAAAAAAAAAATTTTACCCAAAGTACTTTATGCTCCATTTCATCTTAAGGAGCCATCCGTAAGCCCGCTCCCAACCTTGGTAGGATTTGTTCTCTACAAAGTGATAGTAATTTTTTTTTTCTTAATTGCAAATGTAACTTTTGCCGATTTAATCAACCAGTGTCAGTCAAGTTGCGTGAGAAATGTCATCCCTTACCCGGGAACATTGAAGTTGCTTAATATTGATCTATCCCTCGGGAAAAATTAAAGTGACCGTGAGTGGTGGTGCCGTTGTGTGCTGTCAGCATGACATTGTTCTGAATGTGGCATTATTTTTCTGGTGCTCCTGTTTCCTGGATCGTTGTATCTGCTTTCCTTTCCCAAGGCAGACAGAGCTGCTGCCATCGCCTGACAACCGGTTGTCCTCAGAGCAAATGAACTTAAGCTTAAGCGTTTAGATTCGAGGGATGGGATGGTTCTGAGGGGCTCTGGAAGCCAGGGTGTGTTGGATGTTATGCTGGAGGAAGGAACAAAGCTGTTTGAGGACAGGAAGGTCAAGGTCAAGGTTAAGGTAGGAGGGGAAGAAGAAGTAAGTATATGAAAGAAGGACTTCCGCAGAGGAAATGGAGGAACAGTCCCCTTGTGCTTGCAGAGAGAAGCTGGTTCCCAAGCGTAGTAACCTGAGTTCCCCAGGAAGGTCCAGCTGCTGAGATTTCAGGGTCATGACTTGGGGGGAAAAAAAAAACAGACTTTGTTGAAAGAGAGATTCCCATTTTGAACTTGGAGGGCTGTGGGTCAGACAGAAAGTGGGCTCAGAAGTAAGTTTGCTTCAAGAAGACATTTCACGGTTGTGCTGTTTATATAGTAAAATAAAACTTCCTGCCTTGCTTCAGTTAAAAATGAAGCACTTTTGCTCTTTCGTCCATTCTCCTCCACTCAGTGGATTGTGGCCATCAAAGTGACCCATTGGAGGACCCACCTTTACTGAGACGTACTGTCCATTTAGTACCTGGTGTGTGTGTCTCCATGGCCATCTGCCATGGTGACGTGAGCGTGGTGGTCTCTTTGCTGTCGTAGTTAACATTTTCTAGTATTTTTAATGGAGAGAATGTGAACCACCGTGGCTTCTCAGACACCATCCCACGTGGGTCTGGGGTGGGGGGGAAGGAAGGCTGTAAAGGGCGTGGTCATGGCACTCCATTCAGGATGGATTAAAAAATAATTTGCTTTTCAGGTATTAATAAGACATTTGTCATTGTCACTGATTTTTTTAAAAAAGAGCAATGCAAATGTTGGTTGTGGCTGTTTTTCCGCATGCTATCTTCATATCTAAATGCTTCATTAATTATCCGAGCCTCTGGAGAATTAACTCTATTAACGTTTGTATAGTAAGTTTGTAAACTGCTTGGCAAACTGATTAAGAAATAATGTACAATACCACACTACTTAAAGTGGTAGGTTTCTGGTAGAAATTGGGTGAGTCCCATTTGGAGTTTGGAGTTCCTTGATTGATCAGAATAAAAATGCATTTGTTGGGGGGAAAATAAAAAGAAGAGAGGAAAAGCAGATCACTTAACTTATAACTTAGCAAATGTTCAAAAATATATCCGTGCTCTGTGGCCCCAATTCCCATGAAAGAAATCTTCCCGTAAATGCAGTAGCTCTTACATTTCCCAAAAAAAGGCTTTAACCACCATCTGCACAAAGAAGAAGGTGGCCGAGAAACTGATGTCTAATCAGTACCCAAAGGCACCGAGAGGTGAACCACGAGTTCATCTAGGGATCGCACTGGCCAGAGCTTAATGTATTATGAGACTCAGGCGTCAAGGTCAAAGTCTACTAGCAAGATCACCTCCATAAATTCCACCACTCCAGATTTCCTCCCACGCTAAACACAGCCAGGCGCCGTCAGGGAATGTCAGTGGAGGAAGCAGTTCCTCACCATGATGGTGACATCACATTGGGACTTCCACCCATAAGTGATAACTTACATGTTAACATCCCAGAATCTCACTCCCCAAACTTCTGTGAATTCTTTCCCTGAGCAAGAATTCGGGGTTCTCCTCTGAGTCCGCCATCATAACCATCAGCTCTTACTGGTCACATTCCTCTGGTGGGTGGGGCCCGTGCTCACCTCTTAGAAGGTCATTTATCTTCTATAAACTGGTTTTCAGAAGAGGAAGCTTTTCCCAGCTTGCTCTCCTCCCTGATGCCTTGGTTGCTTTCTTCCCCTGCCCCCCACTACCTCTCCTAATACTGGGCTTGTCGTTTGGACACTGCAACTTTGGAGGTCAAGCCCTTTCCTACTGCTGCTAAATCCAGCCACAGAACTGGCTCTTTTTCCAGGTCCAAGAAGTGAACGTCACTGAGTTGCAGTTCCTTCACGGTCCTGCCAGGGCACACCTGACCTTTGTAACTGTGAAAAGACTTCTTGCCAACCTGGTGGCTTTGAGCATAGCATTCGGGAGTCTTCCTTCTGTCATAGAGTTCTGGGATCTCTTCCAAGCATGAAGGTGAAGGACGTTAGGGAAATCAGACCACGCTTCCTGATTTTGCACACATCCAAGGGAGAATTCCTGGGGTTGGTTATTGATGCCATCTCTCCACCTTGCCCTTTTGTTCTCTAACCCTTCCTTCCTAGTCCAGCCAGCTAAGGGAAGAAGCAGATGGGTTTTCCCAGTGTGAGCCTAGGAGGGAGCCCTTTCCCATCTTCTGTACAGTAGCAAGATTGTGATTCTCTTCTTGCACCTGCTGTCTGCTTCTTGGGTTCTGCTGGCCATTGAGTCCGTGATACACACACACACACACACACACACACACACACGACACCTGCTTTGCCTGCCCTGCAACCTGAGCAGATGTAAGCAATGTGTTACTCTATGCTTTCCCAGGAAATGTGGATACAGCCTCAACAACCAGCCAGAGGACCCACTGATTAAAACTGATGTCCTTTGATAATAGATATTTATGAACTGAAGTTGGGAGGCTGAGGCAGGAGGATCGCAAGTTCAAAACCAACCTCAGATTCTTATCTGTCTTTCTGCCCTGGGCTCTCTTGCCATGGGATACCTGACATTAAAGAAGCAGCAGTCAGAACTAATCGGGAGATTGCATTTCCTCTGTCCGCCAGATTGTGGAGGCTAAAGGAAGCTGGCCTCTTAGGCCAAACAAAGACAGATCTCTCTGGCCTCCTTTTGCAGGCCCATGTTCCTTACCAATTAGAGCCTTCTGCTCATTTTTCAGGGGTCCAGTAAGAGTCCTTCTTATTCTTTTTTCTGATCCCACCTTCTGACAAGAAAGAGAACAAATATTTAAATTCCAAGGATAAGTGCTCTCTCTGTGTATTTCTAACAGAAACCAGATGCTGAGGGCTCGATCCTTCTATGGCCCAGGAAAGTGGAAGGTGGAGCCAGTTATCTGGATATTTCATGCAAGAACAGTTGCTGCTAGCAACTGTCCGGCACCTTCAGGAAGGCTTCAGGATGGAGCCTGCAGACATGTGTCCTAAGTCCCCCCTGCTGATTTTGATGGCATTTGCAGGTAGCTACATTTGAGGTGCATTTCTTTAAGCACAAGAGAAGTGGAAGTAGAAAGATCCTTGGCCTCATGTCCAGTGGGTCGGATCCTCTGGGGCCTCAGCAGCCACCAGAGTGACCAGGTGTCCACCTGGAAGTCCTCATCAAAGTTAAAATCCCCAAAGGATGGGATTCTTTTCCCCTTCTTCCAACCGAGTAGCCCGTTGACAACCCTCATAAATCGTGACACACCGTTGGGAGATAGACCATTTTACAAGCTCACTTCCTGCTGACCAAACTGGCTTTCTTTAAGAGAATAAAAAGCAGGGGGGAAAAGTCACATCGCGTTAGGAGACATTTCTGTGATTTAGATATGATGAATCCCTTGGGTAAGGGAGAAAAATAATTGTCTTGCTCTATCCTGAGAGTTTTCTGAGACATCCCTTTACCTGACTAGACCTTTGGCCACTCCTGTTCAACAGGCTGATCAAGCTTTTCTAAAATTTTCAGAGACTCTGTTACTTACAAGAAAGTCTGTGCTCAAGCCTATCTAACCTGATTTCCATATTTTCCCATTAAATATTCTGATTCTCTCACGGACCCTGACTTAACATTCCGAAGTTGGGAGGCTGAGGCGGGAGGATCGCAAGTTCAAAGCCAACCTCAGGAACTTAGCGAGGCCCTCAGCAACTCAGTGAGACCCTGTCTCTAAATAAAATATAAAAAAAGGGGCTGTGGGTGGGGCTCAGTGGTTAAGTGCCCCTGGGTTCAATCCCCAGTAACAAACAAAAACATGAATCCTCCATTTTCTCTAGTAAATCAGGACTTGGTCAGGATTTCCTTGCCTACACT